CCTGTTAGCTTACAGGCCAGGAGGGTCCCGCTGCCCCGGGAATGCCCTTCTCATCACTGCTGGTCGATTCACGGCCAAGCGGTCAGTATGTGTCCGTCCCTCACCTGCTGCCCTCTGGCCCTTCCCAGCTCCGCTCAGCACTCACGCACACGTGTGCCAGGTTTGGGTGAGGGGTCTGGTTGAGGTGTGGCTGGAGGGGAGCCGGGTCCGGGACAGAGTCCGGGCTTTTCTGCAGAGTGGGTCCGGCCACCTCCAGGGCAGGGCATGTCCCGCGCCACTGGCGTGTGCTCCGGGGTCTGCGCGGTTCTGCGGAGACGGCAGCGGGAACAGCAAGCTCGTGGTGGGGCCTCCGACCCAGCCCCTGGCACCCATCCTGGTTCCCGGGCGAGGCCATTTCTTGGCGGTGGTGACGTCAGCACCTTAGCCTGGCCGGGCGGGTGGGAACAGGGTGGGGACAGGCTGGGTGGCATCAGGAGGGCCTGGCGGCTGCGTTACTCTGTGCCCCCAGCTGGGAGGGGAAGAGGGGCCGTGGTGCCCTCCGCGTCCCACCTCGTGGCGGGGGAGGAGGGCTCAGCGTCCAGTTTGTGTGTAAAGCCCACGGACAAGAAGCCGTTGTGGCTGCCCACGCAGTGCCCATGCTGTCACCCAGATCCCCTCTCACGGTCCCTGGGAATCTGGTGAGGGCGCCGTCAGCATTGGCTGGCATCCTGCTGCTCACAGGAGCACTGACACTTCCTGTGTGGTCCCGAGTGGTCCCCTCTGTGACCCTGTCCCGGGCAGCTGGTCCAGGAAGGGAAGCCACGCCCAAGGCGGGGGTGACAGACCCCAGACAGCACCTGCAGTCCACGGTCACATCTAATCACACCAGATCATAATTTGTATGCTGATCAGAACAGAGTGCATGCATACCACACCTGTATGTAGACATGTGTGCATGTGTGCACAGATGAACCCATACATGAATGTACATAAGTACACACAAGCGCAGGTGCTCAATACACACATCATACCTATTCAAAAGGAAATAAACACAGAAACTCGTATACATGCGTGTGTGTGCGCACATGCGTGTATGCCATCTGGTGAATTAGCCCTTTCCCTTGCTGCTTGCTGTTTGCTGGGTGCGTGTTTTCCCCGCCGCCGCCCCCGGCGTGCTCCACGGCCATTTTGGCGGGAAGCTGCCCTGTGACCGGCAGAGATGGCTCAGAGCCCCTCGGGCCTGCGTTCCTGGCACCGAAGGTGGATCATGCCCTCCCCGTGAGCCAATACCGTTCGGGGTAGGCAATGGGGTGACATGTGTGACCCTGTCCTGGTGGGCCCGTCTCGTGTGAAAGGCAGGACAGCACACGGGAAGGCGGAGTGCTAGAGCTGACGCAGCTCCCAAACGTCCTCCCGCTGTGCCCACGGATACGAGGTCTGCGCCCCGGGTGCTTGCCTCCGAGGTGGCGGCGTGTGCGTGGAGGTGTGGGCTGTGCTCTGCTCAGTTTCAAATTATACAAAACCATCGTTCTTGGCTGAAAATAGAAGACATCCAGCCCTTCCTAAGTCATAAGCAACCGAGCAGCCCCACGCCGGCCTCCTGCCGGGGGTGGTGTTTAAAGCCCGTGGGAGGAGAGGCGGTCTGACGGAGGCCATCAGGAGTCCGGCACCCGCTGAGGCGTGTGGCCATAGTGGGATGGGGCGCAGATAGCTCTGCCTCTGGGTGGGAGCGCCCAGGGAAAGGCGACTGAGGAAGACATGTTCTCTCTCCTAAACCGTGTGGGCAGCCCATGGGGCGGCAGACCCTGCCTCCACCAGCACCCGGGCTTTGGTCAGGGCTGCTCTGCAGCCGGAAGCTGTGGTCGGCCAGTCATCCGGTTCCTGGAGCGTGGGGCCCGCAGGCCGCGCAGACGGCGCTTCCATCCCAGGCGGCGCCTCTGCCCTCCACTCCCACGAGCCTCCCCCGCTGCACAGAGCCTGAGCGTGTGTTTCTCCTAACAGTTCAGTTCAGGACACGTGATTTTTTCATGGAAAATTTTTAATTGCTTTTTTTTTATCTTTATCGATTTCTGAGAGGAAGGGAGAGGGAGAAAGAGATAGGACATCCATGAGAAGAGAGAATCATGGATCGCCTGCCTCCTGCATGCCCCACCCTGGAGATGGAGCCCACAACCTGGACATGTGCCCTGACCAGGAGTCAAACCGTGACCTCCTGGTTCAGGGTCGACACTCAGCCCCTGGGCCACCCACCGCCAAGCACGTGATGTGAAGTGAAGAAGTGTACACCGCTGGTGAGAACAGCGCGCCTCCTCCTGTCCAGTTCCTTTGTCCTTGGACTTCCTGCCCAGCACTTCTCCACAGGTGTTTGCTCAGAGCTGCGGGCGCCAGGGTTGCTTAGCTGGCCACGCCCGTCCCAGCACCGCAGCCTGGCAGTGAAGATGGCGGCCTGGGCGCGGGCACAGAACCGTCGGTGCCCCTGGCAGCGAGAACGGGAGCAGGGTGGGGTTGGAGGCGAGGGGGTCGGGCGGAGGTGGGCGCTGCTTAGATGGCGTGGTGGTGCTGGCGGGGCCTGGATGGCCGAGGTGGCACCGCCGCTGCCCGAGCTCCAGGCGTCTCTGCTCAGGCCGCCGCGGAGCCTGTCTGCGCCGTGTGTGCGGGTTCCCGCGGGCATTCCGCGGAGTCTGTGCGCTGTGTGTGCGGGTTCCGCAGAGCCTGTGTCTGCGCCGTGTGTGTGTGTGTGTGTGTGTGTGTGTGTGTGTGTGTGTGCGGGTTCCGCGGAGACTGTGTCTGCACCGTGTGTGTGTGTGTGTGTGTGTGTGTGTGTGTGTGTGTGTGTGTGTGTGTGGTTTCTGCGGAGCCTGTGTCTGCACCGTGTGCGGGTTCCATGGAGTCTGTGCGCCATGTGTGGGGTTCCTGCGGGCATTCCGCCCTCGGACCCGGGTCGCTAACGAGCCCTCACGTTGGAAGCGCAGCACGGTGCGGGAGACTCACCGGGCGGCTTCCGGAGCCTCTGGTGCCTCACTCCCCTGCAAAGCGCAGGACGGCAGGCCCACCCACAGCCGGGGCCACGGCGAGTGCCCTCCCCGGGAGAGCCCTCTGCAGAGGGCAGCCTCGGCCACGTCCCAGCCTCTCCCCTGCGCGGCGCCTGAGTGCGGTCCCGCCCGGCTGTGGTGTGGTGCACAGGCCCTGTCTGTGGAGCTGTGTTGGTGCAAAGCCCAGGAGCCGGGCGGCACTGCAGGACGAAAAGCTGCCGGTAACGGCTCTCTGGCCCTTTGTGGCCCAGAATGTGCCAGTCGCTGTGGACAGTGGTCAGGATGGGGAAGAAGCGGGGCCTGGCGGGGGCCTCCAGGCCGGGAGGAGGAAGTACAGAGGGCGCTGGCGAGGCCGGCGGGAGCAGAGGAGGCGTGGGGTGCCCCCGGCTCCCCAGTGGCAAGCACCGGCAGCGAAAGTCCCCACGAGTGCTTCCCTCGTGAAGCAGAGCTGAGCCCCGTGTCCACGTGTAAAAATAAAGAGAAGAAAGACCTAGTAAGCCCGCTGCTGGGCTTTGCAGGCCAGACAGGACGCTAAGGGCGCAGGGGAGCAGAAAGGTGGCTTCCGGTGGGAGGAGGGAAGGGCCCTGGAGGACTTCCTGGAGGCAGTGACTTGAATGGGTGAACAGAAGCCAAAATTTCTCCCAGACGCTCTGGACGTTTGGGTTGGCCTGACGTGTGTGTGTGTGTGGGGGGGGGGGGGGTCAGCTGGACTAGGGCTGTGTGTGGGCGGTGTGTGGGGGGGGGGGGTCAGCCTGGACTAGGGCTGTGTGTGTGTGGGTGGGGGCGGTCAGCTGGACTAGGGCTGTGTGTGGGCGGTGTGGGGCCTCCGTGGGGAGCGAGTGAGGAAGCTGCTGCCCCTTGGCTGTCGCTGAGGCGTGGCCGAGTCCAGAGCCCGGCGGTGATGATGGGTGAGGGGCAGGCCGGCGTGGGTCGGTGGGAGGAAGAGAAGGGGTGGTGACGGCCAGCCAGCTCTCGGGCCTCCGCGGGCTGCCCCCCATCCGGGAAGAGGGGGTGGTGAGGAGGGGAGCAGGGTGGGCAGTGTGACTGAGTGAGGTGGCTCTGCTGTGACTGACATGCTTCCCGCTGTGCCGGGCAAGGGGCCGCCTCTGCTCGGCGCTGTGGGGATGGGGTCCTTCCTGAGAACCCAGGGGTCCCTCTCGGAGTGCCACTGGGGTCCTGGGGGCCCTGGGGCAAACCCCCCCCCCCCCGGACGGCCTTCTCACTGCCTGCGGCTCACTGCAGGGAGCCTCGCAGCCAACTGGGGGCAGGTGGCGTGTGGGTGGAGGAGGCGGGGACCCCAGCCCCACAGGCCGTGCTCTCAGCGAGGTGCTTCTCAGGGACGGCAGCCCAGGACCCCTGCTGCAGGGCTGGGGGATGGCCCCACCGCCGAGGGCGAGGTCACGGCGGCCGAGGGTGCACCCCACACTGCAGCCTCCGCTGCCCCTCACTCTCCACGCGGCTGTCGTTCTGGGAAGCACACGGGACCTGGGAAGCCGGAGTCTCCGAGGAAACAGAAACTGTTCCTCCCATCGCGTGAGCTGGGCAGCCAGGCGGCATCTGTCCGTCTGCACCCCTGTCTGTCCTGCTCTCCTGACAGCTCAGGGCGGGAAGCACTGACTCCTGCAGCTTGGCTTTGCTCCAGGGCACCTGGCGGAGCCCGCAGGCGGGGGGTGGGAAACACTGAGCACAGACATCAGGCACCATGGCCCCGCGGCCTGACTGCAGCCCTTTTGTTCTCTTCCAGATTTCTCCGGAAGGTCGGAAAGAAGCCCGCTGTTCAAGAACAGGAGGCTTGTGACGTTTGCAGAGGCAAGAGCCACCTGACCCCCCAAGCGTGCTGAGAAATGTGGGTCCTCAGGAGTCACAATGCCCGTCAGCTCCAGGCAGTGCTGCGGGTCAGGGCCCCGGGGCTGTGAGTGACCCGGGACCCTCGCCGCGGCCTCGCGGCCCACAGGCATCGCCGCGGAAGCCCCGCCGCCCCGCAGGAGGATGTGTGCCCGCGCCGGGGGGCCGCTCACCGCCCTCGCCGTGGTGTTTGGGGCAGCGGTGGCGTTTGCACCCATACCTAGGATCACCTGGGAGCACACAGGTGAGGGCAGAAGTGCAGCAGGTGCCGACGGCGTCTGTCATGGTGCCCACGTGTGTGCCCACATGTTCACACCGCTGGCTGCTGGCCCCGCGCTGGCCCTGGTGCTGAGCAGGCGGCCTGCGCGCTGGTGGGAGATGCTTCGGCCGTTGGAAACGCTCATGGCCTTGCAGGGCCGGCTGATCGGGTCTCTAAGGGCCTGAAGGAAGCCCGCCTCGTGCCTGCTGGCAGTCAGTGCCCCCGGCCCGGGCACCAGCCACACTGGGTCCTGTTTGGGGGATGTTAACTGCGTGCAGCTGAGCTCTGGCCAGTGGTTCCCATTTGCTGTTTACTGGGTTCTTTTGCATTTATTTCCTCTTGGGAGCTGTGTCTGGGGACGGGACCCCAGCTTTCCAGGCGCACGGCTGAGCGAGGGGAGCCCCGGGGCTCCGGGCAGCAGGTGTGGGGGGCCTCCATCCGTGTGCGCGGTCTCCACACCATCTCAGAGAGCAGGAGGCGTGAGCTCCTAGCTCAGGAGTGACACCGAGCGTGATGACGCAGAAAGCCACGCTGAGAACACTCACATTGGCGCTGGGGTGGGTGAGGAAACAGTTACCTGGTGGCCAGCCTGCCTTCCTCCCGCTCCACACAGCCTCTGCTCAGCTGGCCTCGCAGGCGCGACTGCCAGTTCTCCCCGTGTTAGCGGTTTGTGCTGTTGTCCCTGGCCAATGCTTGGTGAGGGATATGTTCATTGAAGTGGGTTTTATTAAAGGTAGATCTTTTTGTTTTTAAGAAAAAGAAAATCCCAAATAGTTAAATTCTGTATGCACCTAACCAGAGGTGAGCGTTTGGCGGGGGAGGGAGCTGCGCGGTCAGCAGCGTGAGGGGCCTGGCCCGTCGTCCCCGGAGGTCGCCGGCCGTGGCGCCAGGCCGTGCCGCGGTGGTCACTGCCCCAGAACTCGCCCACGTCGAGGGCGTGCTCCTGGGGGTGATGCTGCCTGAGGCTCACACCATAGGCTTCAGGGAGCCAGACCCGCCCTGCTCAGCGCCTGCTCGGGCCTCTCCGGGGTCCACGCTCCTGGTGGCCGCCCCCGCGGTCTGCTCTGGCCAGAGGTGCCGGCTGGCGGGCCGGCCCCGGGGCAGCGGGTCCACGCCGGCCCTGCCAGGTGGCACACCTGAGTGAGAAGGTGCTCAGAAACGCCTAATGCGCCTGCTCTCCCCAGAGGTGCAGCTGGCGCGGTTCCACCAGCCGGGCATCTTCAACTACTCGGCCCTGCTGCTGAGTGCGGACGCGGACACCCTGTACGTGGGCGCCCGGGAAGCCGTGTTTGCCGTGAACGCTCTCAACGTCTCCCAGAAGCGGCACGAGGTAGGCCCGGGCACCCTGCCCCTGCGGTCCAGGCCGCAGACCCTCCCGCTGTTTCCTCCAATCGCACACAGCTCCCCCCGGCACAGGCCCTCTCCGGCCGTGCTCGCCCCCTGCGCGCCTCACAGACTCCCGGAAGCTTCCTTCCTGCTGTTTCCACACAGCCCCGGCTCAGGGTCCCCCACATCCTCACCAGGAACCACCCCTTCAGCTGGGGTGTCTGAAGGTCTTATAGGCACCGTCGTCAGGGTGCACAGGAGCAGAGGGGGTGCTGAGACGGACCCCACCCCAGCCCCCCACCCCGCTCCGGGGCACGGCTGGCCCGTCCTCCCCACGTCCCTACCCGCCACTCGCTCCACGAGGCTTTGAAGCAAAACCCAGACACAGAGTCTTCATCTTCTAAGTGTCTCCCTGGGCATCTCCTACAGGAAGGACTCCTTTATTTCCAAAATAACCAAAATACCACGATCACATCCAAACAGCAGTGCTGTCACGTAGCCTGTTCAGCTCCACAGTCGCGCTCATGGTGACATTTGTTCGGTTTGAGCCAGTGGTGACCAGGCCGCCGTGCCCGGCACTCTGTCCTCGGTCCGTTCCCGGCCGCCGGGCCCCTGGCTGGCAGAGCCACCGCAGTCCTGTGGGCCTGCCGCCCAGGCAGGCGCTCCTCCGCCTCCACCACTGCCGCCAGAGCTCCTGTGCACCGGGACTGAGAAGCGGGACGTTCCAGTGCCCCTTCTCCGTTTGTGAGCCAGGAATGGCCTCTGAAGGGGAAATGGCCTGGCCCGTGTGGCTCTGAGGTTGAGCATCAACCCGGGAGCTCCACCCCGTAGGGGTGCATGCCGGAGGCATCCGATCGATGATATTCCTCTCTCATCGATGTTTCTGTCTCTATCCCTCTCCCATACCCTCCCTCTAAAAAAAGAATAAATAAAGAGGACATGCTGTCGCCCGCTAGTCCTGTCTTTCTACAGGAAGACCGTGAGTTTTTATAGGTGTTTTAGGGAAACCCTAACGTGTTTGAAGCCCTTGATCGTCGGCATTCCTTCGGGACCTCACTTGAGGCCCAGACAGCCGCCTCCTGACCAGGGCAGCCTCGGGTACCTTTCTCAGGCTCAGACACCAAGGTGCCAGGTCCCGTGGGTGTACTTCCTGCTCCACAGCTCTCCCTGTATGTTCTGTTTTGTTTTGTCCTAATCTCCACATCTAGCCTGGCCCAGTCTCTGTTAGACACGCAACGGAGCTTCTGGCCACTGCCCTTCGCAAGTGAGGTGTAGTGTGCCCGCGGTGCGGGCCGAGCAGCCTCGCTCTGCGTGGCTTCGTCGTGGCCCCAGAGCGAGGGAGAGGCCTCTGGGCCTCCAGGTCTCCGGGCCTCCTCTCCGCAGAAGAGGAAAAAGCAGAAGCCACACCCGTGAGCGAGGTCACATCCCACCTTCCTGCATTCCCGTAGACAGTGATGAAGTTACCTGCGTCCTCATTGCTGAAGGAGGCTGCTGTTGGAAACGGACTGGGTCCTGCTTCCCTGTGTCCGAGCGGCCGTTTCTGTGGGGACCCACAGCTATTAGGTCCGCCCTGGGACAGGACACCCGCCTGCTTCCTGGCCGGGACGGCGGCTCTGATTCCCTGGGGAAAATACATACATTTGGCATCAATCCTGGAATAGCACTCGGGGAGATGGGGCCACTCGGGAAAGGAGAGGCGGGTGGGAGCCCTCGGTCCTGGGTCTGCATCTGGAGGGCCAGGGACCTTGCTCGCCGGCCGCCTGGGGAGAGGCAGGAGCCGGCCCGGCGCGGCTGCCAGCCTGTGAGCCGTGCCGACCGATCTGCCGGAGCAGACAGAGAAGCAGCGCAGGAGGCGCTGTAGCAGAGAAGAGAAACCTCCTTGGCGTTTGAAAGCGCCTCCAGTCTGCCTTGTTGATAAGTGTAATCACCATGACCAGTGGCGCAGGGCCTGCTGCTGCTAGCAGTGAGTAATGGGCCTGGGAGCCGAGGGTCCCAGTCAGAGCCCTCCCCGGCCTCGTCCGCTCCTGCCTCGCGTGCCATCTCGGATTTCCGTGTCGGAGGCGTCGGCCCTGCCATGTGGCTTCATAAACGGCATTCTGTGTCAGCGTCGGCTTCCGGGCGGTTGTGCCCTCAGTGACTCCCCTTCCCCCACAGGCGTACTGGAAGGTCTCGGAAGACAAGCAAGCCAGATGCACAGAAAAGGGGAAGTCCAAACAGGTACCTTTTTTTTTTTTTTTTTTTTTTTTTTCCCCCCTTCAGAAGCCCAGGTGAGTGCTGGCCCCTGACACTGCTGCTCTGGAGTGCAACCTGGGCCTTGAGTCAGGTCTCACGGCTCACCCACCCCTCTGTTCCTCAGAAGCAAACAGAGTGGGGTTTGAGTTTAACTGATTGAAATTACTCTTGGGGCCTGAGACTTGGGCTGTGGGAGGGATTTCTGGTGCCGGGGGTTGCCGTAGGATTCCTGGATTGGGGCACCTCTCACCCCTGGGGATCTGCCCTCTCCAGGGGCGCTGCACCTCCGTGTGCTGGCCCTGCGGGAGCTCAGGCGCGCTCTGTGCCCGTCGCTCTGGTTCCCGCCCACCGGAGCTGGGCAGACATCAGTCTCGGGGTCTCAGAGCCCCATCTGCTGTGGTAGTTGGTGAGGACAGCCGAGCCGGTTATGGTAAATTTCAGCAGTTGTTGGCTATTTTCAAAATGTAACTTTTTAAATAAAAAGATCAGAATTTTTTTCATAAACATTTTTAGCAAATGCTGCGTGCTGTCACTAAAGTCGCCGTGACTAAAGCTACTTTGGGAAACGAGGGGCAGTGCGGGCCCCGTGGTGACACTGGCCATCCCTGGGCGTTGTCTTCAGGCTGAATTGCCATGGAGCTGCCCACCGGCCGCCGGTCGCTGGGTCCCTCCCGCGCCGGCCGGAGGCACGAATTACTCCAACCAGATCTGAGGCCGTCGCCGCAGAGCAGCTTTCCCCGGGGGCATAATTTCAGCCGAGAGCACACACAGCCCAGCACATGGCACTGAAATAGCGAGTGGGTCCCTCAGTGGCCCCGGCTTCCCTGTGGCCTTTCTGATGTGGGCCAGGCTCGGAGCCCTCGTGGGCCAGCCTCTCCCCTGGCCGGGCAGCGGACACAGCCCTAAGCACCGGTTCCAGTTTCACGGGTTGGGGCGGAGGGTGGGGCCCCGGAGAGGAGGGCGGAGGACCTGCTCAGCGTGCCCTGCAGGCCTGGCACCAGGGCTTGGTCTGCTCAGTGGGCATACCGCTGTTCTGTGGGGTCAGCTCCACTGCTGCGTGCAGCTCTCTCCTCTGGGTACAAATCCGCGGTGCAGGCCGCCTCCTGGCCCTGCCTGAGAGAGAAGCACTCGGTCCAGCGGCAGGAGGTGCTCCCTCAGCTGCAGGGCGGGGCCCGTGCGGGAAGATGGGCACCGTGGCCGGTGAGAGGGCACAGCCAGCGCACGGGCAGAGCTGCGTGTCGGGGAGCCCGGGGCGGCACCTCTGGGTTCCGAGCGTGGGAGTGCACGGTGCCACCAGCGCGATGCGGGGGCGTCCGGAGGGAGCTGGTGGCGGTTAACGGGGCGTTTTTCTTTCTTGTAGACCGAATGTCTCAACTACATCCGAGTGCTCCAGCCGCTTGGCACCACTACCCTTTACGTGTGTGGGACCAATGCCTTCCAGCCGGCCTGTGACCACCTGGTGAGTCCGGCCCAGCAGCGTTACCGAGAGCCGGGCTCCGGCAGCCGAGGGGCTGCCTTCCAGCCGGCGGCTCTGACTCCAGGCTCTGCCTCCTCTGTCTGCAGTCCATCATGGCGGGGGTGCGGGCAGGGCCCTGACTGGCTCTGCGGGTGTGGGAGCAGGAGCGGGTGGCGTCCCGCTGGTGTGCGCTCCCTCGGCCTGGACGGCGCGTCTGGAAGCAGTGCCGGCAGAGCAGCCTCGGTGAAGGTGCAGATGGTCGGTGACACTTCCTTCCATTCGCCTGCAGGACCTGGCGTCCTTTCAGTTCCTGAGGAGACACGAAGACGGCAAAGGAAGGTGTCCCTTCGACCCAGCGCAGAGCTACACGTCGGTGATGGTTGGTGAGTCGGCGGTGCCCGTCGCAGGCAGGGCTGTGCTGGCACGCCGGGCTCACAGGCCCTGGGTCCCCTCCAGAGCCTGTGCTCAGAGGGCGCCCCGTCTCTGTAGAGACCCTGCTCGGCTCCTGAATGTATTGCTGAGAGGAGAGCCAGCCGGCAGGCCAGCACGGCCTGCCCGGGCTGTTCCTGCTGTGTGTGCAGACCCGGCCACATGGGGTCGCGCTCTGTGGGGAGAGGGCTGTGGCTGAGCCCCGTGGGACTCGCACGGAGGCAGGCAGGCCCTGGCCCACGTGCGCCCTCTGTCCCTGGAATCCCGGGTTCATAAAGCGCAGTTGGACCAGGAGCCTGAGACTCCGTCCGGGGAGGGCGGAGGGGAATGAGGTGCTGAGCTCCGCCCCTTCCACCCGCACACACCGTGCTGACGCCCTTCTCTCTCCTGGCCCAGACGGGGAGCTGTACTCCGGGACGTCCTACAACTTCCTGGGCAGCGAGCCCATCATCTCCCGGAACTCCTCCCAGAGTCCTCTGCGGACGGAGTACGCCATACCCTGGCTCAACGGTGAGCGGCGGGTCCCCCACCCCGCGTGTCCTCTGGGCAGCCGCTGCGCCAGGACTGCCCTATGCGCTGCATCTCTAGAACCTTCTTCCAGCTCCACCTCACGTGGGCCCCATGCTCTCATCACTGGTGCGCGGGCGCTGGGCCTGCTCGGGCTGCCCAGCCAGCTCCGGGGTTTGGGTTCCCATGGCGTCCACTCCCTTCCCCCTGGGGCGGGCAGCGGCCTCCGTGGAGCGGGCTCTGAGGGCAGGGGAGCTCAGGCGCTGATCGGCCTGGGATGGGATGGGAACCTGTCACCTCGGGCAGCACGTGGCCATGTCACCTTCGTGGAGCAGATAGCTCAGGCCACTCACGAGGCCTTTCTCGTGGGCGCCAGCCAGCAGCCTGGGCCCTGAGCCTCCTGGGCCCTCAGCCGGACTCGCAGCGGGCCGGTCTGAGGGACGGCAGCGGCTGCTCTGCGGGCGGCAGGGCAGCCGGAGCGCGGGGCCGGACCTGCGGGCGGGAGTTAGTCTGAGGCTCGAGCTGTTTAACCAGCAAATGCACCTCTGCTCAGGTCTCCGCACGTGGGGACGGGGTCTGGCTCCCGGGCGCGGGCTGCCTGCCAGGTGGAAGGCCCAGCCTCGCGTTCTGGGGTGGGTCCGGCGAGATGGTTCAGAACCACAGCCAGGGCACTCGGGCCGAGAAGGGTGAGATGGGCACCCCATCGCTCCAGACCCTGCAGAGTGCTTGGGCAAGACATGCACCTCCATGTCTTGTAGGGACACATGTGCAAGGACATGTCCGGGTCCCTCCATGTGTGCGGGGACGTGCCGAGACCTGTGTATGAGCGGACGTGCCGGGACCTTCTGTGTGTGCGGGGACGTGGGACCTGTGTGTGCGGGGACGTGCGGGACCTGTGTGTGCGGGGACGTGCCGGGACCTGGGTGTGCGGGGACGTGGGACCTGTGTGTGCGGGGCCGTGCCGGGACCTGTGTGTGTGTGCCGGGACCTGTGTGTGCGGGGATGTGCGGGACCTGTGTGTGTGCGGGGACGTGCCAGGACCTATGTGTGTGTGCCGGGACCTGTGTGTGCGGGGCCGTGCCGGGACCTGTGTGTGCGGGGCCGTGCCGGGTCCCTCCGTGTGTGTGGGTCGGCTCCCCGTGTTGGGGAATAACCGCGGTCTCTCCCCGCAGAGCCCAGCTTCGTCCACGCCGAGGTGATGGGCGGGAGCGCGGACGGCGCCGAGGGCGGAGACGACCGGGTGTACTTCTTCTTCACGGAGGTGTCCGTGGAGTACGAGTTCCTCTCCAAGCTGCTGATCCCCCGGGTGGCGCGGGTGTGCAAGGTGAGCTGCCCCGTTTCTCCTGGCTCCACCTGTGACGCGCGCCTCGCCCGGACCCCGCTCCCCCTCGGCGCCACAGAGGCCAGGGCCCTCCGCCGGCACCGGAGCCCGGCGCCTCAGAGGGTCTGCCGGCGCCCTCCCCCGCCTCCCCGGGAGCGGCTGGGGAGCGGGCCTTCCCTCGGGTGGACGGGCGGGCCGTGCCACTGCGCCCACATGGGTGAGGGCACGGCGGCGTCATTCCCTCCGCCCCACGCTTCTGACTCAGGCCTGCTCTGCGGCCGTGCCCGCAGGTGCGATGTGCGATGGCCCGGACGTGTTTATGGAGAGCCTGGCGGGCCCAGCGCTCCTGAGCGGAAACTTGGGGGTCAGGAGGGAGTGCAGACCTGCCCTCTGTGAGGAGCATTTGGGGAAGACCAGACCGTCACCCACTGGCCTAGGGCGACTGGGGTGCCAGTGTGTGGGCTGCTCCTGGCTCAGGCCCCTCGCGGGCAGCCACGGTCGCCGAGCGTGGGCAGCTCCAGCACCATGCGGCGGCCGCGGCGGCTTTCCCCAGCGGGTGGGCCCTGTGGTTGGGGGACGCTCGAGCTGAGCTGCGGGAAGGGGTTCTGGGCTCGCGGGCTGTGTGCAGAGGCTCCTTCGGGCACAGCCACGCCGGCGGCTGGGCGCCCGGCCGGTGGGTCTGCGCGTCTGCCATGCCGTCCGGTTGCAGGGGGACCAGGGCGGCCTGCGGACCCTGCAGAAGAAGTGGACGACCTTCCTGAAGGCCCGGCTGCTGTGCGGCCGGCCCGACGGGAGCCTCTTCTTCAACGTGCTGCGCTCCATGTTCGTGCTCCGGGCCCCGGACCTGCAGGAGCCCCTGCTCTACGGGGTCTTCGCCCCGCAGCTGTGAGTGCGGCGAGGGCGGGCCCTCCGTGCTCCCCCCCCCCCCGCCCGCAGGCGGTGACGTGGCCCTCTCCCCAGGAACAATGTGGGGCTGTCCGCCGTGTGCGCCTACAGCCTGTCCGCGGCCGAGGCCGTCTTCGCCCGCGGGAAGTACATGCAGAGCGCCACCGTGGAGCAGTCCCACACCAAGTGGGTGCGCTACAGCGGGCCCGTGCCCTCACCCAGGCCCGGGGCGGTGAGTGCCGGCTGGCCAGGGCGCCTGGGCGGGACGGCAGTGCGGGCCCCGTGGGTTCGAGCGTGTCTCTGTGGGAGCAGGCATCCCCCTGGGACTGGGCAGGGCGACAGGCACACTGTCCTCCTCCCGTGTCCCATCCTCAGCACACGTGTGCCCGCTGTTGCTGCCCACACGGAGTCTCCTCTGGCTGCAGGGATGTTCTGTGGCATTCGCTGTGCGAGCTGTAGTCATGTCTGTCTCACTTTCTGTTTCCTGTAGAGAAACACACAATTTCTTGGCAGAGAGAGGAGCTGTGCAATCCGTTCACTAACATGAATCACGTATTGTTTCTTAAAAGTGGTGCATTTTATGTAGAAACCAGTTTCTAGGTGGATTCAGTAGTGTCCGTCTGTCCTGGGTCCCGGTATGGGGCTTCCGGGCGTGGGGGTGCCCAGGTGTGGGGTGCCCGGTTGTGGGGCTTCCGGGCGTGGAGTGCCCGGGTGTGGGGTGCCCGGGCGTGGGGTGCCCGGGCGTGGGGGTGCCCGGGCTGTGGCCCCGCGGACTGCCTTCCCCCCGACACCAGCTGCTGTGTCCTCAGCACCTTGTTCGGTAAAGCACCCTCACTGGGGGCCCCGGCCTTGGCCTGTGCACGTCGGGCTGGGCACGCCCGTGCCTCCGTGCTGGTGGGACGTGGACCACGTTAGCACGTCTCTCACCAGTCTGCTCTTCTGACGGGAGAGCTGTCACATAACGAGTGTTTCTCTTCTAACTTCAAAACCTTGGTCCTTTTTTCACTGACAAATAGGTAGACTGCCCCCTGGTCATGCGCCGTGAAACGGGATGTGCCTTGTGGGTAAAAGACAGCTCTGCACGCCACAGCGGCGTTCAGACTCAGGCACGGGCCCGTGGCTCCCGTTTAAGAATCCGCTGAGGAGGGCCTAGCTCCGCGCCTCCCGGCCGGCTGTGCGCGGCTCCGGGCGCGCGGTGACGCCGGTCTGCTCCCCGCAGTGCATTGGCCGCGAGGCGCGGGCCGCCAACTTCTCCAGCTCGCTCAGCCTGCCCGACAAGACGCTGCAGTTCGTCAAAGACCACCCTCTGATGGACGACTCTGTGGCCCCGACGGGCAGCAGGCCCAGGCTGGTCAAAAGCGGGGTGAACTACACCCAGATCGTGGTGGACAGGACCCGGGCCCTGGACGGGACTGCCTACGACGTCATGTTCGTCAGCACAGGTGGGTCGGGCCTCGGTCACACCGGGTAAGTCCCGCTGCCCTGTGCCCAGGTGCCCTGGGCAGTGTGCGCCTCTGAGAAGTCACCACCCGGGGCTTCGGGTCCCCGACCTCAGACCCCTGGGCCCCGGTGAGAAACGCAGGTCCTGGCCCGGACCTGGAAATCAGGTCTGGTAAGTAAGTCTGGGCTGGAGCCACGGAGCGGGGTGAGAGCGGGCGTCTCCTCCCGCTGTCCTGACCCGCGGGGCACTGCCCCCGGAGGCCGGGCCTGGGAAACGGTGTCGGGCTGGGAGGAGGTGCTGCGGCCTGGGTGCTTCCGGTCGTGCCTCTGAGCAGCGGGAAGGGGCCGCCGTGCAGGACAGCGCCCAGGGGCGGGCAGGCCCGGGAACCGCGGCAGGCTGGTCGGATGGCAGCGGGTGGGCCATGCTGGAAAGGGTGCTGGCATCGACAATGAGCCCCTAGTTTATCCATAAAACACCGGGACTAAGCGGGCCCGCTGGTTCCTGTGGTCCGTTCTGCCGTGGCTTTTCCTTCTCCGTGTCTGACGCACAGGCGCCGGCCTGGGCTAAGGGAGGAGCGGAGAGGCGGGGGTGTGTGACAGCTCTGGCAGCACGGCCCCCTCCCGGTCACTGACCGGGGCTCCGACCTTGCAGACCGGGGCGCCCTGCACAAGGCCGTCAGCCTGGAGGGCGACGTCCACATCATCGAGGAGACGCAGCTCTTCCCGGACCAAGAGCCAGTGCAGACCCTGTTGCTGTCCACCCAGAAGGTGACGGGCTGCGGGGCGGGGGCAGCCTCGCGTCTCGGGGTCCCTGGGCTGGGGGGTGGGGGGCAGTGACCTCATGTCTCGGGGTCCCTGGGCTGTTGGGGGGCAGTGACCTCGTGTCTCGGGGTCCCTGGGCTGTTGGGGGGCAGTGACCTCGCGTCTCGGGGTCCCTGGGCTGTTGGGGGGCAGTGACCTCGCGTCTCGGGGTCCCTGGGCTGTTGGGGGGCAGTGACCTCGTGTCTCGGGGTCCCTGGGCTGTTGGGGGCCAGTGACCTCGCGTCTCGGGGTCCCTGGGCTGGGCCGGAGGCCCTTTGTCCATCTCGCCCAGAGGAGCCACCTTGGGCTCCCACAGTCCTCTGCTCCGTGGGGTCAGGACAGAGGGGGCAGTCTGGGGAGAGTAACTTTCTCCTGAAAGCTGGCAGAGCCTTGCTGGGTTGTTGGGGCACCACAGGATGTGTGTGTGGTGCCTGCTGGCTGCAACAAAAACACTTCCGTGTCGGAGCGTGGCGGGAGAGACCCGCAGGCCGCCCGCCCCGACGGCAGGACCTGCGTCCGGTCAGCAGGCCTCTCCGGGAGAGGCCAGGGCTGTGCGCTCGGCGCGGCTCCGTCCTGCTGCGCCGCGGCGTGCGGCCATCGCCAGCCAGCGTGAGCTCCGCCGAGCCCGGCGCTGGGCACGGAGCTCGCAGGCGTGCATTTCCCTTTCACGTCCCAGGCCTTCCTGGGAGTTTCCTTCAGCCAGTTACAAAAGCAAAGCCAGCTATTAGCCGTCGGGCTGAGCAGAGGCAGCCGGGGCGGGGCTGGCTCTGGTGTCCCCCGCAGTGGCAGGAGGGGTGCCCACCTCATGGCTGGAGTGGGGCTGTGGGCAGCACAGTGCGGGCCAAGCACCGGGTCGCCCGGTCCAAGCCCAGCCCCAGCCCCCGGCGCCTGACTGTGGGCCTGAGCCAGCCCGTCCTGCCCTGGTTCCCTCGTGTGCACGGTGGGGACAGCAGATGTAGTAGAGCAGCCTGGCCTAGCCCCACCCTGTGCCTCTGGCCGAGGACCTCACTTCTGTGGGTCTTCCCACACGGTGACCCCAGGCTGATGGGCCTGGCCTTGGCAGTGCCAGGGTTAATGCTGGCCGCGTGTCCTGTCCCCCTGGCTGCAGGCACATGCTCGCTTGTGCCGTCTCCTTCCTGCTCTGTGGCCAGCACTTCGGTGTGACTGCACCCCAGCACACCCCCAGCGGCCCTCCCCGTCCAGCCCTCTGTGATTCGCTCTGCCTGGCACCTGGCGGGAGTCTCCGGCCAGCTCGTGGCCAGGCCACCTCGCCCACTCCCTCTCCGCTCCAAACGGGGCCGCTGGCCTTGGTGAAAGGAGGCCCAGCAGCCGTCCTGGCAGCCACATGCTGCTTCGGGGCGGGGCCCGCCCCGGGGGACCTCCACGTTGGCGAGCGTCTGTAGTCACCCAGTGCACACAGGCGTGGGGACTGGCTCTGCTCTGCTCCTCAGTGTTGTTCTGGGGCCCGGGCCTGCGTCTGAAACCAAGGCCTCCGGGCGCTGGGACGCTTATCCATAGCTGGGGGAAGGGCGGGGCAGGTGTGGGTGGCTATGGGTCAGTCCTGGGCTCATGGGTCTGAGGTTGTGCCCCGTGGTCTCGGGCCTGGAGGGAGCCTGGCGTGGCCGGCTGGGCTCTCCCGGGGGCACTGACAGGCGAGAGGTGCGCCCTGCTGGTGGGTGACAGTGGTACCTGGATGTGAGGGGAGGTCTCGGCCGAGGCGTGTGCTCTGCGTTGGCAGGTTCTGCTCGAACCGGGCGCTTGCTCGCGCTGTCACGCCTGCACGCAGGTCACTGGGCGAGGGGCTCCTCCTCCAGGAAGCACTGGTCGCGGGCCCCTGAGCTGGAGGAGGTGCCGTCCTCATCCGTTTGCACCCACAGGGCAGACGCTTCATCTACGCCGGCTCCAACTCGGGCGTGGTGCAGGCCCCCGTGGCCTTCTGCGGGAAGCACAGCACCTGTGAGGACTGCGTGCTGGCCCGGGACCCCTACTGCGCCTGGAGCCCGGCCACGGCGGCCTGCGTGGCCCTGCACCAGACCGACAGCCCCGGCAGGTATGGCGAGGGGAGGCGCGTGCAGGGCGCCCGCCGCCGGGGCCCGCGCCCATCCGCCCTTGTCTTGCAGGGCCCTGATCCAGGACCTGGGCGGCGAGGTGTCCGCGTGCCCCGGTGAGTTGCGCGTTCTCTCTGCTCCTCAGGAATGGCCTTCTCGTAACCATCTCACGTGCTTTGGGCTGTGGCGTCTGTGCATTCTCCTTTTCTGCGGAGCAGCAGCCCGTGTCTGGCGGGCCCGTCTCTGGACCTCCTGTTGCGGGAGGGTGGGTGCGGCCCAGAGGGCGTGTGTCCCGGAGCCGCTGTCCCGCGGGACCTGCTTCGGCTCCCGGAGCACAACCCCCTCTGCACGTGGGGAGGAAGGTCCTCCAGCCGCCATGGCCAGGCAGGGGCGTTCCCGTGGGCAGCCCCGCTGCTGCGGGCCCAGCTGTGGCCCGGAAGGCAGGTTGGGAGGAGGCGTGCCAGGCTGCGGTGTGCGGTGGCCAGGACGCGCCGGGCCGCGCTCAGGCGCCCGCCCCCCCCTCCCCCCGGGCGCCCTCCCGGGAAGCCAGGGTGCGAGAGGGTCTCTGCTGCCAGAGGAGCCGCTGCCTCCGCCCAGGGCTGCCCCGAGGCTGCTCTTTGCTTTTTGCTCATGCATGTCTTCCTCTCCTCCGTTCTGGAAGCGCCATGTCCGCCTGTGGGTGGGACTCTCGTGTCCTCTGTGCGTGCTGACTGTTTTGAAGAGGAGTCGTGGGAGCAGGGTTGTTGACACTGTGCACGTTTATTTTGATGTTCCAGATAAAAGTAAGGAAAGCTCCCAGCAGCATTTTTTCCAGCCTGGCGGCACGGCAGAGCTCACATGCTCCCCGAAGTCCAACCTGGCGCGGGTGGTGTGGAGGTTCCAGAGCGGCGTGCTCAGGGCCCAGGGCCCCAAGTACGGCCTGGTGGGCGGGACCCTGCTCATCTTCAACCTGTCGGAAGGGGACAGCGGGGCGTACCAGTGCCTGTCGGAGGAGAGGGTCAGGAACAAGACGGTCTCACGGGTGACGGCCAGCCACGTGCTGGAGGTCAGGACGGTGCCCCGGGCCCCGGGGGCCTCCTCCTCGCCGGCCCCCCGCACGGAAGGTGCCGGGATCCCCCCCGACAGGTCCGCGGGGCCCGTCCGAGGCTCCTCTCCCCAGGCCCCGGCGGGGCGGCCGGCCACGCCCTCCGGCCCGGCGCCCACCGGCGCGTCCTGCGAGCCGAAGGTCGTCATCCACACTGTGCCCCAGGTGCAGTCGGAGAAGACCCTGTACCTCCAGGCCGGCAACGACCGGCTCCTCCTGTCCCTCTTCCTGCTCTGCTTCGTGCTCTGCCTCGGCCTGCTCGCCTACAACTGCTACAAGGGCTTCCTGCCGGGCCGCTGCCTCGGGGTGCGCTCCGCGCTGCTGGGCAAGAAGCAGCCGGCCCCCGAGTTCGCCGACTGCGAGCAGAGCGTGAAGGAGACGCTGGTGGAGCCGGGCAGCTTCTCCCAGCAGAACGGGGGGCAGCCCCGGCCGGCGCCCGACACCGGCTACGAGACCGAGCAGGACACCACGGCCAGCAGGGCGCCCACCGACAGGGAGGACTCGCAGAGGATCGATGAGCTCCCGGGCAGGGACAAGCCCTTCGACGTCAAGTGCGAGCTGAAGTTCGCCGACTCGGACGCGGACGCGGACTGAGCTGCCGCGGTCCCGTGCCCCGTGCCGCCGGCCGCCGTCCTCGGCCGCCCTCGGTCTTGTGTCTTTTCTCGTGACCTGGTTTCTCTCTGTGCTTTCGGAAAGCGGCAGGCGTCCCGCGGGCCTCTGGTCGGTCGGGGGCCGGAGTCGTGCCGGCGGGCGGGCGGGCGGGCCCGGAGCGGCCGTCCCGGAGGGAAGGGTGTGGTTGGCGGAGGGGCCGGGGTCGCCTGTTGTCCGGGTCGGCACGAAGCTCTTCTTCCACGTGACTGTTGGGTTTTGCTTTGCGTTGAAGTGTTGGGTCATTTACTTTTTAAGTCGCTAAAGCAGATGTCTCAATATTTAGAAGATGCGCATCTTCTGGTTTTGTACGTTAGGGTAGGCTGTGGCTTCTGTTGCTGGAGATTCTCAGGGATAAACTTAATTTTGCTAAAAGCGTTCTCGCTGCTTTTCGAAACGCAGACAAGGCCGATTCCTGAGCACAGTGACTTTTTAAACATTCCTCACGGGAGGCGTCCTCTCTTTCTGTTCCGTTTTTCTCGTTTTCAGTCTTGAAGAGGAGCAGGTGCGGAGGATGCCCCGTGACCCCCGCAGGGTTTTGAGCGAGGGTGGTGGCCCCCGGGAGAGCCGGGGTGGCCCGCGGCACGGGGCCAAGGAGGCCCTGGCCACAGCCTCCTGTCCCGTGGAGTCCGATCATCCGAACGTCGGTTTCCTTTGGCTTCCGTTCCACACCCCCCTCGCACCAGCCTTTCCGCGTGGCCGACCTGAGCATCACGGCCGGAGAGAGCGGGGAGGGCGGGCGCGCCCACGTGCTGGGCCGGGGCGGCCGCCGCGTCTGCAGGACGGGCGGGCGGGCGGGCGGGCGGTTTAACAGCACGGACCTCGCGGTCCGCCTCCCTGTCCACACGCCCACGAGAGGCGACGTTTCCGTGGCCGAGAGCAGTAACTGGATGTCTGTGTCCTGTGCGGACAGTGCGATAGGGTTCCACTGCGTTGGTGTAAACATTTGTGTTTTATAAGATTTACTTTGTTTTTATTTTTCTACTTTGAATTGTATACATTTGAAAAGTAACCGAATAAACGAGAAGCTTATGCCTGCTGTGGGCACGTGATTTGCTGGGCCGTGCGGGTGCGGGTGGGTCTCCTTGCAGGTGGGTCCAGCCTGGCGGGCAGGACCGCGTGGACGCGTCTTTTCTAACCGTGTTTCCCGTCGCTGCGTGCGGTGCTGCTCGTGACGACGCCTGCCTCAGTGCCCTCTCTTTTCTGTCCTCTGTCTCGCAGCCTCGTCTCCTATGCCCTCCCCTCCTCTGGGGTCCTCCTTGTCCTGTCTGAGCCCCGACTCATCTTCCTCCCCCCGAAGCCCCTGGCCGGCCTCGGGCTCTGGGCCCGACGGCCGCCCGCGGGTCACCTTGCTGCCGCCCCTCCTCAGCGACCAGGCCCAGCGCGTGCCTGCAATGGGCGCCTTCCACCTCTTCTGCCAGGCCACAGGTGAGCGGGCGCCCGCCGGGGGTAGGGGGGGCCCTCCGGCTGCGCCTCACAGCAGCCCCGGCGAGCAGCCTCCGTGAGCCTCACGGCCAGCCTGTAGCTGTGCCTCTGGACAGCCGGGCGGCCAGCCGGCTTCCCCGCAGACGGCGCGTCCGCTGCCGAGGCCCGCGGCAGGGTTCCGCACCCCGGCTCGGTCTGCCCCGGCCCCGGGAGCCGCCGGAGAGGGGGCGGCTGTGCATCAGCCAAACTGGCCTGTGGCAGCGATGGTCGGCCTTTTCCATCTCATGCATAAAACTAATGACAAGTTCTGTGGCACTATAAAATACTTCTCCCACTTGGACAAAAAGAGAAAAAGACAGGTGTGATTGTGATCATTCCCACCGATGGCTGTCATTTTCTGTCTGACAATCTGAGAGGCTGACATCTGGTCTGGGGGTCACTTCTGTGTCTGAAGACAGTGTGGGTGTGAGGCGTGCGGGGATTTTAGGAATTAAGCTCCGGGCCTCTGGAGTGGGGATTGTGTCAGCGACTTGATGATGTTCACACGTGGGGAAGACGGCCCAGCGGGCGCCCTCGGACCGGGAGGCTCACAGGCAGCATTGGGGTGGGCACAGCTCGCCTCCCTGGAGCAGGCCCCGGGTCTGGGTATGCCTGGCAGCCCGGTCTCCCATGTGTGGGCGTCTGAATAGCCACAGAGAAGAGTCGTCACAGGCTGAGAGGAGGGATGAAACAAAGCCTGGTTTGTTTAGTTTTTAGATTTAAAAAAAAACAGACACGTTTTAATTGATTTTATAGAGAGAGAAAGGGGGAGAGAAACATCGATGTGAGAGGAGCATCAGTCAGCTGCCTCCACGCCCCCTGGTTGGGATCGAGCCCACCACGAGCATGGGCCCGGACTGGGAATCGAACCGGGCCCTCATGGTGCTTGGGTGGACTCTCAGTCCACTGAGCCTCACCGGCCGGCCATTCAGTTTGTGAGATTGTAAATAAACATGAAGCCACTGAGAATGTCAGGCTGCCGCCTGTGTCCCGCTGGGTGGGCACCCAAGCCTTGGCTTACCCTCCCTCTGCTTGGGGCCAGCCATGGCCACTGGCGGTCTGCGCAGGCCAGGTGGGCAGGGGAAGTTGCCTGAGAGCGGGAGGTGGTGGAGCCAGACCACGGGGAGTCCACGTGGCCCGGTCTGCCCCGTGTGAGGCCAGCCTGCGAGCTGCCCCGGCCGCTCCCGCAGTGGCTCCCTGGAGGCCCGTCCCCACAGGCGCAGGGGGAAGGGAAAGACGGTGACCTGGGAGGACAGACACAGGTGAGCATGGAGCCACGCACTTCCACGGGCGAGCACTCGGCGTGTCACCTGTTTGCTGGTGTGCACACGCCTCTGGGCGAGGAGAGGAGGGACCCTGGGAGCGCAGATTGCGAGACGGCTCGGAACAGAAGCCCTGGTGTTTCAGACGTGCGTGTTGGGAGTTCAGTGCAGAGCTTATGGGAGGGCTGGGGCCGAGGGAGGGAACGACCCCAGACAGCCGATGCGGAGAGTGAGCTCACCCAGGCGCCCTCGCTCCCACGGGCCGTCCCGCCCTGGGCTCGGGCTGCCGAGGGCTCCGGGAGCCGCTCCCACCCTGCCAGCGCCTCCAGGGCAGGACCTGGGGGGCCGTGGTGCACAGCGGGAGGAGCTGAGGGGTGGCACCGGGCACCATGACCAGGGAGCCGAGGCCCCGCCCCGTGCCCCACCTGGGCCCCTTGTTTCCCGCCACACCTGAGGCAGGGCGTCCTGGAGGACCGCCTTCCCGGGAGCGGCCGTGTCCTGTCCACCCGGAGGGGGTGCTCGCTAGGTTCTATTCAGGGTCAAACCACACATCTCTCTCTCTCTCTCTCACACACACACACACACACCCTACACACCACACACACGCATGCAATAAACTGTACGCATCTCACACAAGCCACACACGCTGCACACACCACACACGTGTGCACCATAAACACTGCACACATCTCTCATGCATATTCCACACATATACACACCACGCATACTACACATGCCATACACACGTGTGCACCATAAACACTGCACACATCTCTCATGCATATTCCACACATATACATGCCACACATACGACACACGTCATACACACGCCATAAACATTGCACACATCTCACACAGCCCATACACATACACATGCCACACATACTGCATACAACCCACACATGCCATAAACACTGCATATGCCACACAAAGCACACATACTACACACGTCACACATATACCACAAACATGCACCATGCACTTTCACACATGCCACACAAATATACAATACTCACACATCATACACACCACATACATTGTTACATCCCACATACACGTGTGTCGTGTACATGTATGCATGCCACTCATACATATGCTACACACACTGTGTATATCTCACACACACGCACGTTAGGTAGCATTTTACATGCGGGTGTGGAGGCCCTCTATGTATTAACCATGGTGTCAGCATCGGAGCCTTTAGCCACACGGTCAGAGGCAGCAGGAGGGCGGGGCTCATGAAGGGACTTCCTGGTCCCCAAGCTCTTGTGGAGGCGGTGTGTGTGCTGGGGCCCCGGAAGGCCCAGGCTGAGCTGTGCGGGTAGTTGGCTCATGAGTTGGCGAGTCAGCCCTCCACAGGGTGGGGTGTCCCACCACCTTGCTGGCTGGCTGGGTGGGTGTCCCACCACCTTGCTGGCTGGCTGGGTGGGTGTCCCATCACCTTGCTGGCTGGGTGGGTGTCCCACCACCTTGCTGGCTGGCTGGGTGGGTGTCCCACCACCTTGCTGGCCTTGGTGCTGAGCGAGCCTGATGGGTGGCTCTCCCAGAAGCGCTCTCGTCCCTGGAGTGATGATCCACATTCCTAATGGCAGAGCGGGCGACCGGGTCCCTGGAGGCCTCCTGCCACAGCAGCGTCACCCCAGGAGGCCCCCCCGGAGCTGGGGCCGGCAGGCGCCCACCGCACCCTCCCAGGAGGGCTCAGGCCCCAGGAGCTCGGACCTGGGTGTGCTCTAAGCGGGTCCCAGGCAGCTTGGTGACGGGCTCGAGACACTCCGAGGCGGTGAGCAGGGCAGCCAGGGCACTGGAGACCGGAGAGCCTTCCCTTCCCGCGGGGCTGCGACCTCCGGCTTCTGGGCTCCGGGCCTGCAGGGAGTGTGTGGGGTCCACATGGGGGTCCAGGGTGCACGCAGCCCTGTGCTCTGAGTGCCCTCCAGGGGGTGCTGGCAGGGCCCTGGGCACAGGAATGGGAGGTGGTTAGCTCGCTGGCCGCTGGCCTCAGGGTCAGAGTGGACCACGTGCACAGGCCCCTGAGGACTTGCTGCCCAGGCAGCCCCTGGGGGATGACCCAGCACTGAGCGGCTCCCATCACATCCCCTCCATTCAGGCTCTCAGGTCCCCAACCTCCAGGATGGTGTCCCCTCCTCAGGGAGAGGCCATGGCTCCCAGGCTCTGGTTTTGTCAAAAAGAATCAGCTCCAGCTGAAACCGTTTTGGCTCAGTGGTAGAGCGTCGGTCTGCGCTGAAGGGTCCCAGGTTCGATTCCGGTCAAGCGCATGTACATTGGTTGCGGGCACATCCCCGGGGGGGTGGGGGGGGTGGGGGCTGTGCAGGAAGCAGCTGGTCAATGTTTCTCTCTATCCCTAATTCTCTATCCCTCTACCTTTCTCTCTGTGAAACATCAGTAAAATATAAAAAAATATAAAAGAATCAGCTCTGACCCACCGCTCTCCTCAGACAATGGGAGAGCGGGGGAGACGGGGCAGGAAGGCCTGGCCCTGAGGGAGGCGAGGGCTGGAGACTGCCAGCTCCACCCCAGCGGCCGCTCCAGAGCCCGGCAGCCCCGCACGCTGAGCTTCCAGGGAGCGGCCCCGTGGCCACGTGGTTTGGGCGCCTGGGTCCCCACCAGTGCCCCGGGGTGGGGCCTGCTGACCGTTCTAACCTCACTTTCCCTCTCTCTCTGATTTCCTCTGCATTCAGAATGAGTTGGATAGTTTTTAAAGAATAAATGGAACGTAAGTACTTCGCTAACATGTCAATGTCTTGCTGCGATTACCACATTTATAGACTGACCAGTGGTGCTCCGGGGCCTCGCGCTGTCCACACCCAGGGCGGGTGGGGAGTCTGCGCCTCGCCCATGTGGCTGGGCGCTGAGTCCGCTCAGCCACCACTGCCTCGCCGGCGCTGGTCCGTGGAGCCTTCCGGAAGCTACTGCCCCATCCTATCAGCAGGCAGTGCTGGGAGTGAGGAAGGAGACGGGCCTTTAGAACTAACTCCAGTGTCCATAGTCTCTCGACCATAGCATCTCACGAGAATCAGTTCCTGAAGTTACCGCCCCTCGGTGCCTGGTGGCCGGGGGCCGGCAGCGGGCTGGGAGGCCGCTGTGGGATGGGTCTGTGGTGTCCCGTGTGAGCATGAGCGTGTGCGGAGGCAGCAAGTACACGCGGTCCACCCGTGTGTGTGCATGATGTGCGTGTGCGGAGAGAGCGGCCTGTGGGCAGAGAACAAACCACACACAGCTATAGGGAGGGAGTCAGACCATGAGGGTCCAGCACAGAGCATACGCCCCGGGGCCGCCTTTGGCGACGGCCAGGGCCACGCATAGGACTTGGTTACATCCAGAATTTCCCTCCAAGTCAGCACATTTCTTTTTCCTCTATCACATTTCATTTTTATTATAAAAGCATTGTTTGTTTTTACTGTGAATTCAGAAACTCTGGGAAAGCATAAAGAGCAAAATCTAAATGACCTAAAATTAAACCACCCAGCGGTGGCCACAGGCAGCATGAGAGCACTTCTAGGCCTTTTCCCTGTGCATGTGTGTGAGTGTGTCTACACGCCTGTACATGCACACGTTTACCCTTCCATGTACACGTGTGCACACACAAGCACATGTATTCTTTCATTGAACATCTTGTCAGTGTTCCTCTGTTGCTAAATCGTTTTCTTAAGTGTGATTCCTTCCCAGCGCCCCGCTCACAGGCACGCGCCTTCCTCCTCCCCGCGGCCCGGCATCGTCTCGGACTCGCCGGGAGTGCCTGGCCGCTCTGCCTGCCGGGGAGGGAGTCTGAGCTGGCCCTGGAGGACTGCTGAGGGAGGGCCGGGCCTGTGGAGCTGGGGAGCCATCGGAAGGAGCCTCAGTTAGAGTAGAAGCCCCCTCTTTCCACCGGCCCAGCACCTGCTGGTCTCTGCCCCCACCCCACCCTCCTGAGACAGTGCGCGCCCCTGGCCCGAGTCTGGCAGGGACGCTCCCATACGCCCGCACACTCACACCCGCACACTCACACACCCGCACACTCACACGCCCGCACACTCACACGCTCACACACTCACACACTCACACACTCACACGCCCGCACACTCACACGCCCGCACGCCTGCTGCCGTCTGTGCTGGCAGGTTAGTCCTCAGCTCGATGTGTCTGCCCAGGGCTCTCTGCCTTGCAGGCAGGCGTGGTCCTCCCTCTGCTGGCCGCCCTGCATGAAGCCGTTTAGTCCACCCTGTCCAGGTCGGTGGGAAGAACCTGGCCTTTGAAAGCAGAGTCTCAGGTAGTGGGGTGGTCACGCGGGCAGCGCTGGGCTGGGTGGTCCCGCAGCCCACCCACCTCAGGGTGTCCCTGGTCCATGCTTCGGGCGCCTGGGGCCCAGGCGGAGTGAGGGAGCAGCAGGGTGCACGGCGCACCCTGGTGCCGTGACAGGAGCGGCAGGGACAGGCCGCAGGAGTCCGGCCCGTCGCTCCCCTGGCTGTGCCGCCTGCTCCAGGTCTGCACCGCGGACGGTGCCGTGCTGGCTCTTTCCCCGCAGACCCGGGGAGCCGGCACAGTGCCTGGGTCCTGGCCCGGTGGCCTGCGGCAGGGAGCAGGGGCCTGCCTCCGCACAGCCCGCGGCCCGGGCTCATCTGCTCTTTGGGGAGGGGGTGGCCGGGCTGCTCGGCCGGGCAGAACCGGTCCTGCTTCAGGCTCTGCCCCTGCCTTCCTCTCCACCATCCTCCCTCAGCACCGCTGGACACCTGCCCGAGCGAGGGCCAGGGTGGGAGAAAGGCCCGTTAGGTCCTCGGTGGCCTCAGCCCACCCGGCGCCCTGCACCCGCCCGGCCCCCCAGGAGCTCCTGGGCAGCTGCCCCACTCCCTCCTCGGGCCCAGCCAGGCCCTGGGAGGCAGGCTCTGGCTTTGTGGCGGGGACAGGGTGTGGCCTGAGGAGGCCCCTTTGGCAGCGGGGCTGGGGGCAGGGGAGCGCAGGGTGAAAGTTCCCAGGCCCAGAACCCCCTGTCGGAGCAGACGCCGCCCTGGGCCACATCCCGCGCTGCACGGGGCTGGCAGCCGGGAGAAGGGCGGCCCTGATGGCCAAGACCCTGCTCTGGGGACACGCTGTGCAGGTGCGTCTGAGAAGGACGTCTGGGGGCTGAGCAGCAGGGCCCGTGGGCAGAGGGCACGCCTGTTCCTTCTGGGTCACGGAACCACAGGGCCTGCCCTGCACCCTGCTCCAGGCCAGGCTGGGGCTGAGCGGCCCGCTGTCCTCACTCAGTGAGGCTGGGACCGCAGAGCCCGGCCTGGGCAGCCCGGCCCTCCCCGCCCCAGGCCGGCCTGGGCCCAGGGTGCCGGACACGGAGCTGGCTGTGTGCCCCCAGGTCCCGCGGACGTGCACGTTGTCTGGGAGAAGAACGGGCGGGAGCTGGAGGCGTGTGTGCCCGTGCAGACCCTCGCGCTGCCGGGCGGCGGGGCCCACGTGCGCAGCTGGCTGCAGGACGCCGTGCGGGAGAGCGCCGAGTACCGCTGCTCCGTCCGCTCCTCGACCGGGAGCCAGGCCTCCGGCGTGCGGGTCACCGTGCTGGAGCCCGGTAAGCCCCTGCCTGCGGCCTCCTGGGCGGTGCCTCCCTCACGGCACCGTCTCCCTCGGCCTGGGCGCTGCCTTCCAGCCCGGCTTTCCCAGGACGATGAGAGTCCGTCTTCACGGCGCCCCCGCCCCCTCGGAGGGTGGCATTCCCGGAGGCCGAGCCCAGGTCCTGCCGGCGCCCTTCCTGCGCTCTGGTTTCCCGTGCGGACTGTGCTGAGCTCACTTCCACACCGGGCTCTGCGGTGTCTGCAGTCCCGGGCACTGGGTTCCAGCTGCCCTCAGCCACCGGGAGTGTGTCTGCAGAGCCCGTGCTGTCCCGTGGCACGCCGAGTTTGGCAGGCAGGCATCCTGTCTAAGACACGCGTGGGAGAGGAGCTGGCGGTCTCCCCGCGCCTTCCCGCATGTGCGGGAGGTGGGCAGGCATGTGCGGGAGGCGGGCAGGCGTGTGCGGGAGGCTCCTGCGTGCGGGAGGCGGGCAGGCGTGTGCGGGAGGCGGGCAGGCGTGTGCGGGAGGCGGGCAGGCGTGTGCGGGAGGCTCCTGCGTGTGCGGGGGGCGGGCAGGCGTGTGCGGGAGGCGGGCAGGCGTGTGCGGGAGGCTCCTGCGTGTGCGGGAGGCGGGCAGGCGAGTGCGAGTGGGTGAGGGACAGCTCCGTGTGCGGTGTGTCCCTCCTGCTGTGCGGGAGGCGGCCTGCAGCTCGGAGTCCAGGTAGGGCGTGCCCGGCCCCCAGCCTGCTCGGGTGTGAGCTCGGCTCTGCCAGGGCTCGGGTTCTCGGGCCGTTTCTGAAACCGGCGGCGGGTTGTCCAAAGCAGCGACGTCGTCCGTGTCTGCTGCGAGGAGCGCTGGCCGGGCGGCGCTCCGCCGCCGCTGTCACTGCTGCACCCTCAGGCCCAGCCCCGCGGCCACGTCCTTCCTTCCCTGCTGCAGGCCACGCGGCTCAGCTGAGCTGGCTTCTGGCCGAACCCTCCTCCCGGCTCCCACCGCCCGGGCCCAGCGCTCTCCTCGCCCCAAGGGTGTGGGCGGTGAGCCGCGCTGCCTGTGAGTGCCGGTGAGGGGGCAGGCGTGCAGGGGCTGGTGGCCTGGGAAGGCGGGGATACTGGCTGAAGAAGCCTGCAGGGCAAGAAGGTGGGGCTTGGGCGAAGGCCTGCCCAGGCCACTGGCTTCAGGCTGCTCCGTCAGCAGCGGGGCCTGCCAGCCGAGCCCTGGAGCCCCTTCTCTCTTGCAGAGGTGACCCCCCAGGAGAAGTGGACCAGAGAGCTGGCCACCTGGAGGGCTGTGGCCGGGGAGCACGGCCGCCTGATGCAGAGCTGGAGGAAGGCGTGGGTACGTGGTTCTGCCCGCTCTGCCTGGGGGGCCCTCACAGGAGACTGAAGTCAGACGGACCGGAGGACGTGGTGCAGAGGCCTCTGGTTGGCCGTGCCCCGTGCCACCCCCACCTCCCGGGCAGATGGGGTGTCGGGTGCTGGCCAGAGCAGGCGGGCAGGCGTGTGCGGGAGGCTCCGGGTGTGTGGGAGGCGGGCAGGCGTGTGCGGGAGGCTGGGGTCTGCTGGGCGGACCCCTCCCAGCGCCGGACGGCAGACAGGCATTCCGAGGCTGGCCCTGCGAGGGCCAGACCTGATGGATCCCAGAGCAGAGCCGTCAGCTGTGAGTTCAAACCCCAGCTCTCACGGTGCCTTGGGTTAAAGCTGCCCAGTCCCTCCTTGCTGCCCGCAGGCTGCTTCCCTGCAGGGTCCCTCCTAGCCCAGGGGGAGCACATAGGACCGGAGACAGACAGATGTGGGGAAGGGAGTGAGGGACGTGAGGCCGCTGTTCTGCCAGGAATTCAAAGATGTTCTTCTTCCAGGAGAGCTGTAACAAGGACACCTTTTAGCCACCAGGGAGCAGTGCGCCCGGTGCCACCCGCCTGGCCGGTGGAGAGCCCTGGGCCGCGGCTGTGACCTTGCCTGCTCCCTGCAGGGGCGCCGGAGCAGAAGAGCCGGACGGGAGGAGGGTGGCGCAGCTGGGTTCCTTTTTACTCAGGTGCTCACCTGGACAGAGGGAGCAGGACACCGGGCCGGAACGGCTGCCAAGAGAAACTGGTTAAGAGCAGCATGTGGCCGGCCAGCATGGCTCAGCGGTTCACCTATGAACCAGGAGGCCACGGTGCAATTCCCGGTCAGGGCACAGCCCCGGTTACAGGCTTGATCCCCAGTGTGGGGCCTGCAGGCGGCAGCTGATACATCATTGGTGTTTCTCTCTCTCCCTCTCCCTTCCTCTCTGAAACCCATAAAAATGTGTTTAAAACAAAGACAGCAGCAGCAGCATGAGACGGCTCTCCCAGCTCGCCCTCCCTCGTGACCTGAGTCACTCACCAGATGCAGGCGGCCCACAAGGAGGCTGGGGCAGCACAGCCCCTCCTGCCGGCACAGGCCTGCGCCCCCTCCCGCCAGCCCCTCGCCCAGGGGAAGGCGCCGACCCAACGCCTTGACCTCAGTGTCGCCGAGGCCCGAGGCGCCTGGGACAGGCGGTGCGTCCTCCCTGAGCTCGGGGAGGCTTCCACGGGGCTCCGCGTGCCAGTGCAGCCGGCTTGTGTGCTGCCTGCACGGCGCGGCCGGTGCTGCCGGAGCGGGAGCCGCAGGCTCCGGAGGAGGACAGTGCCGCCTGAGAGAACCAGCCGGAAACAAGCCCGCGCTCGTCCCCGTGGCGGCGGCTCCCCCAGGAAACAGCCTCCCCGCCAGGGAGCTGGTGATCTGCATTTCCTAACCCCCCTCGGCCACCAGCCCCAGCCCGCCTGGCAGCCATCCATTTGCTCTCTGTAACTATGCGTTTGTTTGGTTTGTTCATTTATTTTCATTTTAGATTCCTCATAGAAATGAAATCATATGGTATCTGCCTTTGTCTGACTTATTTCACTTAGCACAATAACCTGTAGGTCTGTCCATGTTGTTGAAAATGGCAAGATTTCATTCTTTTCTTTAAACGTCAGATTTATTAAGGTATAATTTACACACAGTAAAGTACAACTGGAGGAGTTTTAACAAATGCACGATGTTCAGCCATCACCAGACTGGATAAAATACTCCATCACTCCAAGGCCCATCAGGCCACTTGCTGGCAGGCTCCCTCCAGGCACAGCAGCCCCAGCCCGGCCCAGCCCCCAGCCCGGCCCAGCCCCCAGCCCGGCACAGCCCCCAGCCCGGCCCAGCCCCCAGCCCGGCACAGCAGCCCCCAGCCCGGCCCAGCCCCCAGCCCGGCCCAGCCCCCAGCCCGGCCCAGCAGCCCCCAGCCCGGCACAGCCCCCAGCCCGGCACAGCCCCCAGCCCGGCCCAGCCCCCAGCCCGGCACAGCCCCCAGCCCGGCACAGCCCCCAGCCCGGCCCAGCAGCCCCAGCCCGGCCCAGCACCCCAGCCCGGCACAGCACCCCCAGCCCGGCCCAGCACCCCCAGCCCGGCACAGCAGCCCCCAGCCCGGCACAGCCCCCAGCCCGGCACAGCCCCCAGCCCGGCACAGCCCCCAGCCCGGCCCAGCAGCCCCAGCCCGGCCCAGCACCCCAGCCCGGCCCAGCACCCCCAGCCCGGCCCAGCACCCCCAGCCCGGCCCAGCACCCCAGCCCGGCCCAGCACCCCAGCCCGGCACAGCCCCAGCCCGGCCCAGCCCCCAGCCCGGCCCAGCACCCCCAGCCCGGCCCAGCACCCCCAGCCCGGCCCAGCACCCCAGCCCGGCCCAGCACCCCCAGCCCGGCCCAGCCCCCAGCCCGGCCCAGCAGCCCCAGCCCGGCCCAGCCCCCAGCCCGGCACAGCCCCAGCCCGGCCCAGCCCCCAGCCCGGCACAGCAGCCCCCAGCCCGGCCCAGCCCCCAGCCCGGCACAGCAGCCCCCAGCCCGGCCCAGCACCCCCAGCCCGGCCCAGCCCCCAGCCCGGCACAGCCCCCAGCCCGGCCCAGCAGCCCCAGCCCGGCCCAGCCCCAGCCCGGCCCAGCCCCCAGCCCGGCACAGCAGCCCCAGCCCGGCCCAGCCCCCAGCCCGGCACAGCCCCCCCAGCTCGGCACAGCAGCCCCCAGCCCGGCACAGCCCCAGCCCGGCACAGCCCCCAGCCCGGCCCAGCCCCCAGCCCGGCACAGCAGCCCCAGCCCGGCCCAGCCCCCAGCCCGGCACAGCCCCCAGCCCGGCCCAGCAGCCCCAGCCCGGCTCAGCCCCAGCCCGGCACAGCCCCCAGCCCGGCCCAGCCCCAGCCCGGCCCAGCCCCCAGCCCGGCACAGCCCCCAGCCCGGCCCAGCAGCCCCAGCCCGGCTCAGCCCCAGCCCGGCACAGCCCCCAGCCCGGCCCAGCCCCAGCCCGGCCCAGCCCCCAGCCCGGCACAGCCCCCAGCCCGGCACAGCCCCAGCCCGGCACAGCCCCAGCCCGGCCCAGCCCCCAGCCCGGCACAGCCCCCAGCCCGGCACAGCCCCCAGCCCGGCACAGCCCCCAGCCCGGCACAGCCCCAGCCCGGCACAGCCCCAGCCCGGCACAGCCCCCCGCCCGGCCCAGCCCCCAGCCCGGCACAGCCCCCAGCCCGGCCCAGCCCCCAGCCCGGCACAGCCCCCAGCCCGGCACAGCCCCCAGCCCGGCACAGCCCCAGCCCGGCACAGCCTCGGCCCGGCACAGCCTCGGCCCGGGTCCTGGGCTCAGCCCTCTAACCCAGCAAACAGATGCAGCGGGACGGGCTGTGATGAAGCCCTGTGCGAGGAGCCGGCGGGGGACCCGGTGGCCAGGTCCCGGGAGCCCTTAAAGGGCCCGTTTCCCGGCTGCTGCTTTTCTACTTTCTTGGTTGAATCCAATATCCATGGGATTTAAGCCATTTCATCCTTTAAGGGAATAAGTTTCAAATAAGGCTGTTTATATGGAGGGGGAAAAATGTTTTGCACAAACATACTCCTTGGACCCTATCACAAGTCTAGTAAATGTCTGATTCTTATAAATGATTTCCTAGGCCCTTGGTCAGCAAACTGGCTTGTGAGCCACATGCGGCTCTTTGGCCCCTTGAGTGTGGCTCTTCCACAAAATACCATGGCCTGGGCGAGTCTATTTGGAAGAAGTGGCTTTAGAAGAAGTTTAAGTTTAAAAAATTTGGCTCTCACGAGAAATTTCAATCGTTGTACTGATGATATTTGGCTCTGCTGACTAATGAGTTTGCCGACCACTGGCCTAGGCTAAAGAAACACTGCCCTCTAACAATGCTAGTCTTACAAAGCCCACACACTTTGAGTACTTAAGCTTCTGAAAAAGTGTTAGTTTTGCTAACAAAGATGACAAAATAATGAAATATACAGAATGTGTTCTGTTCTCCTCTATTCATTTCTTGAGTTAAAATAATACAGCCCTGGCCAGGTAGCTCAGGTTAGAGCATCATCATGATATGCCAAGGTCACAGTTCAATCCCCAGTTGCCCGGACTGGCTAGCAGACCTTGAGCGACGGACGAACAGATCACTCTGTGAAAGAGAAGGCTAAGGGGCTGTTTTGCTTTTGGAACAAAGGTGCCTCGATAGCCTGCCTCCTTAGGCTTTCATTGTACAACAGCTTGAATTATCTATTAGATACGATCAGCAGGGTAAGCATCCTTGAGAAGACACATGTGTCCTTTAAGCAAGGACATTTCCAAATCTAAACAAAAATTCTAGCAAAACACCTGGGGGTGTTTTGTTTGGAAAAGCCAAGGCAGGAGCTGCCGTCTTCGGCAAGGTCCCCCAGAGGCCTCTGACCTTTCAGAGATTCCTCCTCACAGGCTTTCCAGCCAAGTCCCATGCTCCCCCACACCCAGTCAGGGCACGTGCAAGAGTCAACCAGTGAATGCATAAAGTGAAGCAACAAATCCATTTCTCTCTTCTTCTCTATAAAACCAATAAATTTATTTTTTTCATTTTAAATAAAAAACATCATAAAAAATACGTTTGGCAAATGAATTCCCTAAAATATCTTCTCAGCTACTTGGAGCACTTTTTACGGCTATATCTAGTGTATCTATGTCTGGCTGCTCTAGACTGAATAATAAAACACATCTACACAAAAAGGTAGCAGCATTAGGTGTGAATTCCCTGGGGTACAACAGTCGTGCTTCAGGTGAAAGCACTGTCCTGTGATGTTTGAAATTTAAATAACTTTTATTTAAATTATAAACACAAATCTTAGAACTGGCAGTCAGACACCCTTAGCACTGCCACAGAGGCAGGAGAGAGTCTTACCACTGCCACTGTGCTCACCAGCGATGAGTCTGGCTCAGGGATTCTGGCTGAGCAGCTCTCCACTTGTAGGAGTGCACTGACCACCAGGGGACAGCTCCTGCATTGAACGTCTGCCTCCTGGTGGTCAATGCATGTCATAGCGACCAGTTGTTCTGCTGTTCCATCGATTTGCATATTAGCCTTTTATTATATAGGATGTATTCAGAGGTAAACATTTGGTGACAAAAGAGACTTTTGTTGTTGTTGTTGTTAATCCTCACATAAGGATATTTTCCCATTGATTTTTAGAGAAAGGAGGGAGGGGGAGAGACAGAGAGAGAGAAACATTGATGTGAGAGAGACACATAATTGATTGCTGGGGCTGGGGTTCGAGCCTGCCACCAAGATGCTTCTCGACGAGGCCCTTCAGCAGCTCCAGCCCCTTTTCCAGAGGGAGCCCTGGACCAGGGGCACACTTCAAACATGGTGGTGGAGTCACAGTGATGCAATGTGGCTAGAGGTGAAGGGAGGAGGAGGTGGAGCTGGCATAGGAGTCAAAGGATCAGAATGAGCAGAGTAAGAGCAGCTGAGTAAAATCCCATTGTATATAGCACCACCTCATTTCTATTCATTCGTCCATCAATGGATTCTTAGGCTGCTTCCACATCTTGGCTATCCTATATAGTAAAAGCCT